ACCATGTTATGCTTTTTCATTTATTGAAATCTACTTTGGTGTCTTCTAGATATTTTTCTCCTTGGGTTTTGGGAATTTCTTCTTAAATTTATGCCTAGGTATTTAATTTTCTTTTTCTCTATAGTGAGTGAAGTCTTCCATCATTCCTTCTGTCTGTTTTGTGCGTGTGTGTGTGTGTGTGCACATGTGGGTGTGTGTATATCACACACACACACACACATAAGCTATTATATAAGGATATATATTTTATTCATTATGTGTTTTAATTTTGTACCTGTTTCTTTACTTTTATAATTTGCAGTACTATTTTCCACTGATCCCATGATCTTTTTTTTACCACATTGCACTGGGCGTTACTGGTTTTGCTAGCTATTAGTTTCTTAGATGAAAAGATGTCTTGGCTAGAAACTTCCCTGGGTAGAATGAAGCCCCTGGTTGTTCACCTTCTTGCCTCGAAGGTTCTCTCACTGCTGCAGTGGAGGTCTCAGATTGTTTTCCTGAGGCTCCTTAGACCATCAGCCTTAGCCTGGCTTCTTTCAGAAGGACAGCCTAAGATGAGGATTTTAGTACAAGAAGTTTATTTGAGAAGTGGTCCCAGGAGACACCAGCAGGGGAGTATGAAAGCAAGAGAGGAAAGGGAGGAGTACAAATAAAGGGTACTTTCCCCCAGCAAGTCACCACTGTGGGCACCTGCACCTTCTGCTCCGGGAGACCGTCTAAAGCACCCAGTTATCCTAACCATGGGGCAAGGCGGTCTGGGATGGCCTCAGTGCTATCCCAGCTGGACTAGGACATAAGGAAGCTAGGAATCTACTCACCAAATCCCCGTCCACTGAGTGAGGGGTGCTTTCAGGGAGTCAAAGTCCACTCAGCCAGTAGAGCAGAAGTGAGATTCAAACCCAAACTGGCCCCGCAGCCTGTGCCTTGGAGGAGGCTCTGAAGTCAGGAGTCAGGCTGAACTCTGCTCACTTTCTGGCTCAGAAGTCTTGATTTCCTTGTCTTTATGTTGGGGATGATAATAATACCTTCCTCCTGGGGTTGCCATGGGGATGAAAAAATTTAGAGGATAGACACAGACAGATAGAGATAGAGATGTCAAGGTAGATGTAGACAAAGATACAGACATAGGTGTAGATGCAGACATAGACACAGATGGAGATAGAGACATAGATGAGACCCAGATGAACATGGAGATGTAGACCAAGATGTAGAGGTAGACATAGACA